AGATTACCTTATTGGTTGTTGGTTCTTATGATTCCATGTTTTATTTCTTTAAACATTTCAAATCTAGGTTATATTTCATAGTTGGCTACAGAATGCTGAAAGTCTTAGGAAAGGGACTCTCTTTTGCTCCAACTCCCTTTCCTCATAACTCATATTTTGTTTTGTTTGGGGTGATCTTTTTGAGCTCACATTTGATTGATATCCTCCGTGGGGATCCTGAGTATCTTTTGCTGAGAATGCTCCCCTCCAGGGTTGAAGAGGTTTTCATCCTCTGCATGTAGGAATTATGTCCAGATGCACCCCTTCCTACGAGCCAGTCACTGCTTCCCCATTACAGTGCTGATAATGGTGTTTGCTCTTAGACCAAGCCTACTGTTTTGCTCTTATTCACTACTCACTTTTCCCTGCTCAATTTTCAACTCACTTTTCATTCTATACCTATATAGAAAGTTCGTTTGTAAGCTTCAAAAAAAACTTTCTCTTTGTTCATTAATGGATGAAACTGGGTTCGGCGATCATGAACCTCCTATGCCACAATAAAAGCCAAGTTCAATCAGCCCTCTCATGTGCTGTCATGATTGATCAAAGCAGGCCATTTTGTTTGATGTAAGTGGTTTTGCAGCCATAGGTCAGCAAAAAGCATCACGTTATATCTGAAGGTAAAAGCTCAGAGTCAGTTGTGGGCTGATGTAATATAGCTTCGTTGGTGCTAATCAGATCTCTGTGGAGCTGGCACAGAAGCAGCAAGAACTAGCTCCATCTTCATGAACTAGAAGGAAGATCATTTGTGACAAAATGTTTTTAATATTTTAAAGGCCCATGTGTTCAGAACAGCTTGACATGTTCACAGATGTGGATTGCGTTCTAGACTGATCTTGTTTTCGGGGTCTGTGTGGAGTACATGTGGTGCACGTAAATATGCAAGGCAAAAATACCCAGCAGTTAGGTCTTCTTTTGTCTTTCTGGCGTCAACAGCACTCTCCCCTGACCAGAGGGCTCCTGGCCTTCTGTAGGCAGGCATACAGTCAGGGTGTCACTCATTCCAATGTTGCCTCTGACATTCTTCCCCAGCCTTCCTTCTGGAGAAGCCCCTGTGCTCAGCATGAACCCTCTCTGTCTTTCTCTACAACCCACCTGGCCACAGGGAGCATCCCTCCTGTGCACACAGCCAATCCAAGGTGCTCTTCCCCCACCCCAACTTTGATACCCCCCAGAGATGCTCCACTCTGCAGTGGGATGGCCTTGTAAAAGAAGAACAAATGGTGATTGAGGATGGGCCCTCTGTTCTGTCGGCAGCAGAGGTAGGTGGTATCCCAGGAACCTGTGGAGGCTGCCTCCAGTGAGTATCCCACCACCTGCTTGTCCTCGCTTCCCCCTCAGTGACTGACATCACCACCACTCCTTTACACACTCCTCACTTGGGGGGTTGGGGGGCACAAGGGGGTGGAGAAGACAGACAGCCCTGCCAGTAGACACACACCCTCCTATCTCACCTCTGCACAGTCCAGTTTCAAGGTCTGCTGAACCCTGGGCCCGAAGCTGCCTGCCTCAGGAGGCCCATGCCAAAGGAGGGCAAGACCAGCCATAACACAAGTTAGCACAGCATACTGCATGACCTTGAGGTCAAGCTTGACATTGAGTCCAGAACTTGCAAGAGCAAATTACAGATCTATTAGTTTACTTCTTCTGAGGAAATCATGGGGAAAAAACAGTCAAAAATTAATCCAGGTGAACAACCTACAGTCAGGTGAACCTGATAAAGCACAAAGTCTTACCTAGACTCTCTGTATAAACCTGTGTGGGTGCCACCCACACCATTGCTAAGGAGAGCTTCTTGGGAATGGGAGGTGGCCAAGACAAGAACCAGACAGCAGCTTCCAACCCAGGTTTTCTTGTCTGTCTAATTTAAAACATCCCCACCTGTCTATCTGCTGATGGCAGATACCTCGCTATGGTTGGCTGTTAGTATGGCCAGGACTCTGGGTCTTTGTTACCTATAGATTCTGAGCCTGTGGACTTCCCTTCTGTACTCTGATTTCCTACCAGATGCCTTGGGCATTCAGGCTGCATGCCCAGGCAGTAGCCACACCTGCTGGGTACATGTTGCCAGGATCATGCACGGGCTGCCAGGTGGAGAGAGGGAGTCACCTGCAGGATGGGTTCCCCTGTGGGCCTTTGCAAAAATGGCTTGTCCATGAATCTTGTACCAGTGCTCATTCTGTAATATATTCTGTATTATAAAACACAATCTAGATACATCTTAATGAATAATTAAAAAGCAAACACATTCCAAGTCAAGGAATAAAACACAACCCACAACCCAAGTCATAGAAGTTCCTTCTCCACCCCACCTTACACTCATCCTCCTGGGAGTACCACTTCTTGGACTCCTGTGTTCATCAGGCCCTTGTGTGTTTTCACTGTTTTAGTTTTACCACCTAAGTGTGGAGACACTAAACACAACCATTCACTTTTGCCTATTTGGGAACTTAATTTCCATGGAGCATGTTTTCTGTTTATAAGACTTCCTGTGCTTTTCATTTTATTGTACAATTTACTTACTCTGTGGTCAATGAGCATTTGGGTTACAGATGATTTTTTAATCAACACTGAGAAAACCACTATAAACATCCCATCACACTTTCTGGGTTGCATACTGCACACATTTTTAATACTTGGAAGTGAAGTTGTTGATTCATGAGGATGTGAATTACAAAGAGATCATCCCAGATTATTTTTCAAAGTGGTTGAACCAATGTATGCTCTCTCAGCAATGTAGGAGGATTCCTGTTGTTCCTTGTTCATGGCAACACTTGAAATTTCCAGTCTCTCAGATTTTTGGCCAGGGTGTGCAGTGTCACGGAATTTTTCCAGTGATCTTCATTTGCATATACCAGATTTCTCATAAGGCCAGTTGTCCCCTCTCCCTAGGCAACCTGTGATCTTCCCTCTGGGTTTGTTTGTTTGTCTATTAAAAGGCAGAGTCTTACTATGCTGCCCAGGCTGGCCCTAGACTCCTGCATCAAGCAATCCTCTTCTCTCAGCCTCTGAGTAGCTGGGATGACAGGCACTCCAGGACCATACCAGGCTTCCTTGTCAGTTTTAACAAGAAAAAGCCAACTGAGGTACAAAACAAGATGGGTCAATACAGACTGGACATGGATTTAGAAACTTGAGTTCAGAGCTCGTTTTTATCTCTAACCTTGAGGTCTTGGACAGAAAGGACTCTAATCATGGAAAATGGCATTTTGATGTGGCCTCTTTCATCCTTCTCCCAAGACCAACTCTTAACAGGCATATGTGTCAATTGTTCATGCTTCGGTATTTACATAGTTCTTTATATGTCCAAACTACCCTGTCTGTGAGCCACTAATGTTTTTAAGATAAACAAAGCAGGCCTAATAGCCCCACATTATAAAATGACTTTCCTATAAAATAGACTCAGTTCTCCACTCACCTAAAAATAGGTTTTATTGTGTGGTTTGGGGTTTTTGTTGGTTTACCAGTTACTAGCTATGGCTTTCATTGGCCATGTGACCATGAAAAAGGAGTTCACACCTTGGGGCACTGGTAACTCAGTTTTGGAGGAAGGAGCTGTATTTACAGTGAGGAACTTTCAGAATAACCACCCACCAGGGCCAAGGAGGGTCTGGGGGTATATATTCCACCCTTGTCAGGTGCCCTGAGCAGTAGGGTGTGGAATAAATCCAGCCATTGTGTTTGGCCAAGCACCACTCAAAAACAAATTCATTTTTAAAGTCCCAGCCTCTCACACCGACGTTCAGCTTTTGAGTCTTAAGCTAGCTTTTTGAGATGAGTCTACACAGCAGGGGAAAGGGAAGTGTGGCCACGTCCGGTTCCAAAGCCTCTCTCAGATCTTGTCAAGGCTGTGTGGCCATGACCTCTTACAACCCAGAGGAGACTGTAGAAATTTCCCCAGCACACAGATGCCCTTGGCCTGGTAGCTGAGGCACAGCTGACTTCTTCCCAAATATTGTGCATTTGTGAGTGTTGCTTAATGCTATGGACCTCAACTTCCTCATTTTAGCAAATGCAGGGGCTGAAGAAGCTTCCTGGGACTTCATGACGCACCTTTTCTCAGATCGCATGATCGGAAGGTCTTGAGTTGCTAAATGGGAAGGATAAGGTCGTGGCTGGTAATGACTGAGATGCTAAATTGGACCATGTCCTCCCCAAGTCCTACAGGTCTTTCTGGCAGCCCTGTTGTCTCCTGTAAAGTAAAGGATGCCTGATGCATGCTTTATAATGGGTGTGTTCATCTGTGGGTTGTCACTCCCATGGCTCAGTTCACCAGAACATGGTGGGGAAAAGGGGGAGGCACTAAGGGTACCCTAGCATGACAGTGGAAACAGCCTTTTGAGCCTCTGCGCAGCTCTGCTAAAGCAACTGTCCCCTGTTCCCATAGCAACTATCATTCCCTTCTCTGGGATAGGGGTATCTGACATCACTGAACAGCATTTGAATCTCCAGTCTGCCCTGGGATGTGGAGAGGGAAGGAGGTGAATAGTGGGGAATAGTGGCTTTCACACCTTCCATCCGTGTTCCAAAGGTCCTGATAAAAGCACCCACCAGATGCCCCCATCTGCACCCCTGAACAAGGCTATACAATCTGTGGATCTGACCCAAGTGCAGACCCTGGTGAAGAAGGCAGAAGGGTCCAGTGGCCCCACAAACTCTCCAGGGCCTGTGCCAGTCACCCTGAACCACCTTGCTGCCCACTGCTCCCAGGCTCTCTGTGACCCTGCTGAACTCCCACAGTTTCCCCATCCCCAACCTGTTGGCATTTCCTTGCTGGCCTTTCCCTGAGCTATATGCTGGGTCTTCCCAGGATGTCAAGGTCTAGATGGTGCCCGTACACCACCTGCCCACCTAATGGTTCCTGGAGAACATCCACTGACCACTGGGGCCAGGGCACCTCTCACTGGGTCCTGCCTTGGGACTGGTGGAGTGGGGATGAAGTGGCTTGTCCTGTCTTGCAGGATCAGGGCCAGAGACAACAATGGCTCCTATGCACTGTGCCTGCTGCACGAAGGGAAGGTGCTGCACTACCGCATCGACAAGGACAAGACAGGGAAGCTCTCCATCCCTGAGGGAAAGAAGTTTGACACACTCTGGCAGGTACATATCATCCTTTCCCTTGTGGGAAGAGCACATTGTCCATGGGACTCTTAGAAATAGAGTGATCAGCCTGCCTACTGTATGTCATGGGCTTTCTCCCAGCCCCCGACCAGCAGCAGCAGCTCTGGAGCTTGTTAGAAATGTCTGCAGGCTCTTTGTCCCACCTGTTCAGTCAGTCTGCTTCCAAGCCCCCAGGTAACCAGCCTGTTTGAGAAGCACTGGTGTAGGGACCATCATTTGTCCAGGACCATTTGGTTTCTCGCTGCCTGAAGCTAAATGTACAGCCCTACCTTGGTAGAACTGAAAGCATTTCCTCCTAGTACATACTAACTAGGACCTAGAAGAGAAATTTCAGACAAATGCACACAAAATGAAGGCATAGATGGCTTGGAGACCATGATGCAGCCATTCCTGAAGCTGCGAAATGCTGCCATGGATATCAAACATCAGGTGATATCCACATGGCAACAGGGTCTCTGTCCACAGAGGTTACAGTGACTTAGGAAGTGAGTCTGCACTTCCTGAGCTCCAGGCTGCTGCCTGTCCAGAAATGCTGCAGCACTGGTCTAAAAGGGTTTATCCTTGGCCTAGTTGTTGCCATTAGAGTTATGCAGGCATTGAAAGGCGTCCACACAATGCTCATCGTGCTTTCCATTCATGGGTAGAGAGCACACGTTGCTCTTCTTAATTGTACATCACAGCTGCATTTGCTGACTAGAGCTAGTAGCAGTTCTTTAAGCACCATTTTAGCAGAGCATCAACAAACTAGTGGACACAGAGACAGAGAAAGCCAGCGAACTCTTCTGCCCTGGAGAGCATTTCTACCTTGAACTTCGGGGGATGAGGGACATACTGGGGGGCAAGTGCAAATGGCCCCACCCAGGTCCATCTGGGAGCTACCCATGCAGTCAACACTGAGGTGTACTTAACCTTTTATGTACATAAGGTGCAAAGTCCATCACAGTGGTTACACAGTGTTGTCTTCTGCATTATTTTCCCATCACCGTCTTTTAAAAGCTTCCTACAAGAATCCTTAATGGTTCCTGGAAGGGATGGAGTAGAGCCCAGGGTAGATGGAATATGTGAGTGTGAAGCCCTGGCTTCCATCCTCACCACAGCCCAAAAAAAAATTAAATAAAATAAAGCTATGCATGATGGTGCTCACCTGTATCCCAGAACTGGGGAGGCAGAGGCAGGAGGATTGTAAGTTCAAGGGTAGCCTGGGCCATTTAGTGAGACCCTGCCTCAAAAAAAAAAAAACAGATGGGAGGTGTAGCTCAAGAAGTAGAGTGAGTGCTTTGCAAGGATGAAGCCCTAAGTTCAAACCCCAGCCCCACCAAAAAAAGAAAGCAATAAAAAAGTATCTGAAGAAAAACATACTTTCTTAATAAATAATAAACAAATAAAGGCACCTGAATTCTTGAACACCAGCTACCCCAACATTTGAGCATCCCACATCCATCACTTATAAATAGTCATTCACTCTACTTCTTCTCCCAAAATGACTTTTTAATGTATGGGGGTTTCACTCATAGTTTCAAAGGCTGTGCCTCACTGTGGCATTTAGCACCTCTAGTTGTTAAAAAGTTCCTTCCTAACACTCTACTGTTCTTAAGGATTCCTCTGGTTTAGCATTAGTGCTCACCCCTAATTTAGTGTCCTTCATTGCATGCTTTCTGACCAATTATGCCTTCCTTTTTGATGTGCATGGTTACACTATTTTTTTCTGACCCACCCTACCTTCAGGTCCCAATGGTGTTTTCCTGAGAGTCAGTCATTGCAGACTACACTGTTTCATCTTCTTTACATTTTAGCTCAAAAGTCTGCAAACCCACAGACCATGCCTAACTTGAATCCTGTTTCTGTGCTTCTATCTTGAAGAAAAGATTTTATGCTTTCAAAGGGTTGTTTAAAAAATAAAGGAATCAGACATAGTGATGTACACCTGTAAACCCAGAACTCAGGAGGCTGAGATGGGAGAATCATGAGGTCAAAGCCAATCTGGACACCATAGTGATGTCAGCAGAGAAAGGAAAGTGATGAGGATGATTCCCTGATACAAAAGAAGGGCCATAAATCCTTGATTCAGCTTCCCAACTTCCATGCAAATCACAGGAACTTCAACTCCACACATTCATCTGGCGTCACTTTGACCATCACAAACAAAGAAATAAATAAACAACTAGGTGACAGAGATGGCATGTGGTCCCCAAAAGTCTAAAACATCACTAAGTAGCTGTTTACAGAAAACATTTGTAGACCCCTACCGTGGACATCCTGGCTGTGTACACACCTTCCAAACAGAACGGACTGTTTAAGATCAGTGTTAAAGCCCTTAGATCATGATAAAGCCCAGCAGGCAGGCAGGCAGAATCTCTTTGTCACTGTTGCTCCGTTCCTTGCTCCTGTGCATTCATCCCTCTTTATTTCTTTCTTCTCTTTCAGCTGGTGGAACATTATTCTTATAAACCTGATGGCCTGTTAAGAGTTCTTACTGTGCCATGTCAAAAGATTGGCTCACAGATGGGTGAGTTATGAAGACATTGGAGTGTCTGTTTTTTTAGATATTGGTCATAGTCAGCCTTATATAAGATTTGGTCTATTCCAAATTCAGATGTGATGAGGTCTTTTTTTTTTTAACCAAGTGACTAAATGTTATGTCAGATCACTCTGGTTCTAAATATCATAAATCAAAAAATAGTCAATCACTTTAACTTTGAAAATCTAACACATTTTAATTGAATGTGTGGAAAAGCTAATGAAAGAAGATAAAAAGAAATGGGTGTGGAAAGTTTGACACTGCTCCAACAGCAGTGTGCTGCAGTCACATTGATTGGTCTGCAGTGGAGGAGGGGATAAGAAGCTGCTTTTTACTATGTAGCAGTGATTGTTCAGATCCTTGTAACCAGGAGATGTTACTTTTGCAGGTCATCCGCAAAGTTCAAGTCCCTCCTCTGGGGTAAGTGTCATTGGCATTAACACTGAAGGGGAGGCAACTGTGCATGACACAACTGAAAAGCAGGTTTAGCTAACAGGGGTAAAGACCATTGTTCACATAGCCAATGTGAACTGGAAATTCCAGTGAGTTTTAGGTATAATTAGCCTATTATCACTAAGGTGGCCATAGGTCCTCTATACCTGCCTGTTGCCTGCTAACCCCTGAAAAACAAAACCCACCAAAACCCTACTACCTCCAGTAGGGACTATTGGCTGGCCAGCGGCTAAGTCCATACTGAAACCAGGGACTTCATACTTGGTGACAAATTGAAGGACATTGAATTTGCTAAAGCACTCAGTGTACTTCAAGATTGCCTGACGCCCGGTGCCCATGTAAAGTCATTGTTTTTCGACCCTCACACATCTCAGAGGCCTGGCAACTGCTCTACTTTAACATTGTACGTCCATTGAGACAGATCCAGTTTTGTTTTAGATGAAGGTTTAGGGCTTAACCCTTAAAGAATATTCAGCCCAATATTTAGCCATGTATCACTCAATAACTTCAAGAAGTTAGTTCTTTTGGAATAACTTTTTATTGAATGGTAAAATATATACAGGAAAAAAATGTAGCTACTGTATGTGTACAATTCATCATCCTGGAGAAGATCTTTTCTACATCATCCTGGAGAAAAAATGCCACCTAGTAGTCAGTTACTGTAGTGTCCTTAGGATGATCGTTTTGAGCTCATGACATAGTCTTTCCATAGGAGACACCAGCTACTGAATGTCTCAATTTTGTAACCTTCAGCGAAAAATAGTTCTCAAATATTTTTCTAGATCCCTCTTCCCGAATGGTAGACTCTTCTGGAATCATTTCAAATTATCCAGAGTCGCAGACGGGGCAGGGAGTAGGGGGCTCAGCAGTGCAATTGCAGAAGCAGGTTCAAGTAGCAAGTCACATGTGCTGTCCTGCATTTTGTTTCCTGAAACTAAATTTACCATTCCTCTCTGTCCTTGTGGTTTCTAGGGTTGGTCTCCAGGTGGCATAATCTCAAGGATCAAATCCTACTCCTTTGCAAGGCCTGGCCACAAAAAGGTGCTAAATTGTCCCCTGCTTGCTGTCCCTCACTAAGTGGTAGGACTGCCTGCCTGCTCATGCCGCATGCATGAGCAGGGCTCAGGGCTCTGCTGCTTACACCTGCTGCTCTGCTTGCACGCCTTCCTCTTGCACCTGCTGTCCTGGGCAACCTGTGTCTAAGTGCACGCTGTGCTTTCACGTGGTCCTTGGTCCTCTGCTGCAAAGCCCAACCATATTTGACCACTCACTCTGCTCAAGCCCGAGTTTAAAGTCACTTCAGTGAGTGTGATCAGTGCAGCTCATTCACACATCACAATGTCTTTTCAATGAAGGAAAGAACGGGGTGTGGAGGTTTCGTGAAGCGTGCTGCACAGTGAGGACCTCAGGGTGTCAATTTTATAGATATCGAGGGCTATAGTCACCTCATTGTTGCTGGTAAATTCTAACACAGAATTACAATCACTATTCTAACTCATTAGAATTCAATAATGACTTAGCACTGTGATGCATATTAATCCATTATCTAGCATTCGTTCAATATCTTCAGATTTCTAACACGGATTTTTAGCCATAAAGGTGGAAGAGATGGAATTTGAGGTCTTTAAAAAACATTTTTCTTTTGGAGGCGATAATGTAGACATAGTAATTTCTGTGTTTGCTCTAAGATTGAATTTTCTTTTAATGTTGGGGATAGAACCAGAGCTTTGTACATGCTAGTCAAGTGTTCTGCCACTGAACTGCATCTCCAGCCCTTGGCTTTTTTCAGACAGGGTCTCACTAGGTAATTCAAGTGGCCTCAAATTTACAGTCTTTCTGTCTCAACCTGTCAAGGTCTGAGATTACAGATACATGCCACCACACCAGGCTAAGAGGTCCTTTATAATGACTTATTTACAATGAATCTCTCTCTCTCTCTCTCTCTCTCTCTCTCTCTCTCTCTCTCACACACACACACACACACACACACACACACACACACAACATGTAGATTGCTTTTTCCCCTTGTCTACTTTTATCTTCTTTGGGGCAAAGTTGATTCTTCTTTTAAATTCTTCCCCATTTTTAAATTAATCAGTATTTTTCCAAACGTTTTGGCAAATGACTGAGCATAAACTCATGAATTAGGTTGCATAAAAGCCCTGAGATTTTATTCAATAATAGTCTTCCAAGTTGACCGTCATACACAAATAGGTCTTCATCTTGTTGACCAGAGAACAGAGAAGGGTTTAACCTGACGGTTGAGGGGGAAAGTCATGGCGTACCCCTGGATGGAATAAGCATGTCAGTTTTTAACGTTTGCCTCAGACAGAACTCTCCACAGCTACCCCCTCTGGTTAGCCTGGCCCTTGCCTGGTGTCCAGCACTCACCTTCTCCCTGGAAAAGGCCCTGCTCAGCATCCAGGATGGCCCACACCTAGCCAGACTATCAGCAAGTGGGAAACAGGCAGCATGGTGACTCATAAGCCAAGGTGCTATAAAACATACCTGATTCGGGGCGCTTTTCAACCATGAGTCATCTTTCCAATGTGTGATTGTGAAGTCAGTTCAAGTCAGAGATGCACACATGGTTTGGCGTTGAACTCAGAAACACAACAATTATTAATGGGGCACACATTTCCAAAGCTTCCCAGAACACAGGGCAGGTGCTGTGGCAAGCAGTGTGGAGCCCTTGTCAAAGGCCCAGCTCCTCACTCACTTGCCTGAACACCTCCACCCTAAGGGTCTGGCAAGACACTGACTGAGGCCCAGGTAGACATAGCCACCTCCCAATTTCCGCCATTTTTATGTGTCATTCCACTTACCTTGGGCCAAAGCCTATGTGCTAACTCACTTGTGTATCACTCAGAGCTCCACCAGGGAAGCAAGACCCAGAGGAGACGAGCATGAAACAGGCACGGATAGATGGAATGCATGCATTGCGCATGTGCATGCATGGTCATACATATGCACATGTATACCCACATATACATACTTACACACATATGATACACACATTGTATGCATAGCTCTGCTCACATGTCAGATACAACATGCTATACATGCATACTCGTACATTAGCTATACACACACATACATACAACATGTATACTACCTACCTACATCTGCACAAATACACACACAGATTTATTACAAGGACACAGTTATATAGGGTGGCTAAGCAAGTCCAATGTCCATGATGCAGGCAGTCATGAAGGGAAGCTTCAGAGAAAGACAGAGTCTCATGACATGACCTAAAGCTATTCTGTCCCCACCTCCCCACCCCTCAGGGGTTTGACACTCTCTTCCCCCACCCCACTCTTTCTCTTTCTTGGAGAACCCTAAACTCTTTTCAAATGACTCTAAGTCAGCCTCACCCAAGATACTCTTTCTAATATGAATCAAATGATTAGGAATTGTAATTACATCTGCAGAGTTCCTTCATAGCAATACTGAGATTACTGTTCCATTCAATAACTAAATCTCAGGCAATGAATGCCACCAAAACCCAGTAAAACAGTCTTAGGAAAAGACAAACCCCAGACCTGCCCTCTCTCTGTTCAGCTTAAGCCATCTCAGGTCACTCATAGGAACCTAAAGGAACGCCTAGAAAAGATTTGGTGCATCTTTAGACCATAGGAGAACATGTCTAAAGAAAGTCGAAGAATCAATAAATATGGCCATATAAAATATTCACGTATCAAAACCATAGGAGGACTAAAAGAGAAATAAGAAATCTGGAAGAAATTTTATTTTGTATTAAGACATATTCGTAGTACAGTGGGGATTCATTGTGACAATTCCAAATGGGCTCATATTGTACATTGGTTAGGTCACTCCTACCATCACTCCCCTCCACCCCTTCCTGCCCCACTTAAAACAATTGCAAAATGTTTCATCACTCTATTTCATGTATGAAGACCATCAACCATATTCCTTCACCTTCATTCACCCTCCCCTTCTCACAAGGACCCCCGGCACTGAACCTATTTTATAGTCCTGCCTTTCATTATTAATTCCAAATTCAATGTTACTTTACTTTGGTCCATTCAACCCCTTCCATTGCTCTCCCTTACCCCTTTACCTCCCACCCTCCATTTTTCAGTAGCTTTCAATAGACATCCTCGTATCCTCTACCTTCACAGATGTCGTTTTACAATCTTGTTGACGCTCTATCATTTTCTTTTCCTTTCCCTCCTTCCCCGAGTTCCAGAGTAGTTCCACTATGACAAGCATGCTCTTCGTGTAAATTTGCATACGATCATGTTCGTTTTTGTGTATATGTTTCTCTTTGGATCTGCCTTCCATGTCTGAGAGAAAACGTGTGGCCTTTGTCTTCTGCGCCCGGCTAACTTCACTTAACATGATGTCCTCCTATTGTAACTGTTTACCTTCAAACTACATAGTGTCATTCCCTGGGAAGAAATTTTAGTAATTATGACATATATATTTAATTTCCTTAATATACGAAGAGATTCTATAAGTCTATAAAAATATCAACTAATAAGCAGAGAATTCCAGTAGGCAGTTTAGAATAAAGCAAATGTAAATAGTGAAACACATATGAAATGTTGTTCAACTGCATAGTAAAAGAAATGCTAGTTAAACTGTGGTGCACCACTTTGTCCACCGGTAAAATTAATCCAAATAAAAAATCTTGGGAACACTCTGTGTAGCCAGGGGAGTGGTGAATAAGCACTTCTACACTTTTTTTGAGAAATGAAATTACATGAATCTCTAAGAAAGGCAATTTTATATCTATCAAATTTAGAAGTACATAAAGCTGAACTCTGTAACTATTTCTGGATATTTATCAAAAGATAGCTTGCATTTCTGTACAATCATGCATATGTGAAGGTGTTTACTCCAGCATTGTAAATGTCTATCAATAGAAAATAAATGAAAGCAGTTACAGTAAAATTGCTACTATGGGAGAAGCTGAGATCTACAATTTGTTTCCAAAATTTTAACTGTAAGAGACATTCGTGTATATACACATGCATATGCATGTTGATATAGCATGGAATATTATGGAAAAACACAGAAAATACTGGTAATGAGTATCAAGGAGACACACTTTATGTTCACAAATAAATAGAAAACTTCCCATTATTTAGTCACAAGAAAAGAATTGTGAGAATTGTGTCAAGGATTCCATCTCTTTTTTTTTTATTGTTGTACTGGAGGTGCATTGTGACATTTACAACAGTTCTTACAATGTATCATAGTCAAATTCACCTCCTCCATCATTCTCCCTTATACCCCCTCCACCATTCCTGGAAGAATTTCAGCAGGTCTCATTTTTTTGATTTTCATACATGGATACAGAATATTTCCATCATATTCACCCTCTACACCCTTTCCCTCCCACTGGTACCAATTCCCAGATGGGAGCTGTTTTACCCTCCTGCTCTCTGTTTTTGAAAAAAGACATTTTTGTTTGTTTAAACTACACAGGCATTTCTGTGTGACTTTTGCATGTATTCATGTGTTATTACCCAAATGGTTCACCCCTCTATTTTTCTCCTCTCTACCTTAGAAGGGTTCTGTTTCCTAAGGAGTAAACAACTTTCTTTAACTTGTTAATTCACTCAACATAAGTAGTTGCTTTTAATAATTCAGAAACAGAAATTCATGCAAGAATTTAACTATAGCGTCTTGATAATTGGTGAAAAGTATGCTTTGATTTTAAGGTTATTAAATAATTTTAAATTTTCATGATGAAATTCTAAAGACAGATGCATTTTAAACTTCAGAAGTTAGCATCATGTTTGTACTTACACAATGTGAGTGAATCTAACTGAAGAATTACTGCTCCTAATCCTTTAAAATCCTTCCTGCCGTTAGTCTGGCATTTTGTTACTGTCTGTTACTTTGCATAATTATATCCTTCCATTAAGGACAATGGGCAGAGTTCCAATATAATCCTTGAAAAATTAAATGCAGGTTTTTGCTTCCTTTTTCAATGATTCACTCTCTAAGATGTTTAGACTGAAATGTGTCCCAGAATTTCTCATTAAAACCCATTATTTCATGTTTTACTCAACACAAACACTGATGGTTGGGATATATAAAAACTTATGTCTAAAACCAACTTGCTAGGGCTCAACAAGAGAAAGAGGAAAGGAAAGAATTCTCAGGTCCCACCTTTTCACGTGGTAAAGCCCAAGCAGACCACACTGTTGAGAAAGGTGTTTCCATAAACCTTTGAAGGGCCAGAAAGATTAGTTGTGTAGATCACTTATTAATTTCCACTGACTTAATGCAAGCCTAAACACTATCCCACTTCCGGGCAGAGACTCACTCTGGTCTTCAGGGCTCTCGTTCCCCACTGGACTGTGCTGCTTCCGCCAAAGGCTGGAACACACTTGGTTTATTGTAGCCAATATTCTTAGAGACAATTGGCATTTTACCACTGCATCTGATGAGGTTGCTGTTACCTGCATTACCGCTGTTGCCTAATTTGAAAATGTCTTTCAAGAAACTGACCATAAAAGTCAAAGTCTAGCAAATGAGCCTCAGGACACATGGCAACACTGTGGGACCAGCCCTGCATCAGCCTTCAGGTCCACAGAGCAATGTGTTAATTCTTTTGTTCACTTTCAAATTCCCAGTTTAAAAAAGAAAAGGTGCATACAAAAATTTGTCAAATACATACCCTATATACATCTAAGCCTAACCAATAAAGAGATCGAAATAATAATTTATAATCAAACATGATTTTTAAAGTATTATTATGGTTTGTTACTGAACCTTGTTTCTACAAGGTTCATTGGTGCCATCTAGTGGTTTCCAGTGGTTATCATCTATTTTGAATACTGGAAAAGTTCATTTACACATTGTTCTCTTCGCAGAAAAGACTATGTGATTTATTAGGGCAGGATTGGTCATCAAATGCAAAACAGAAAGAATTAATGACTAATAGTAGTCATGTGTGCCTGCAATACATTTTTCATTATAATTAACATTTTGATACATTTAAATAATCACTGCTTTCATAATTTATCATTATGCCTTTGTGTTTGTTGTTTACAAGTTCCTCAAATTCTTCTCAACAGAGCATTTGCTTCCAGAGGCTTAAGTTGTCACTGTGGACCTATAAATGACCTGAGTCTCATGGATTGTAGGAAAGGTGAAACAGGTTTTGCCTCCTCACCTTCATCACAGGGTAACCCCTGCTCTGTTAACTGAACTGGTGGAACACATGCCCTTCCCCCCACCACATAGTCCTTCTAAAGAACATTCTCCCAAATGTGGGGCCATCTTTGGTCTAATCCTAGCAGTCATCAGAAATGAGCCAAGGACTCCAGCCAGGAGAGCTGGTGTAGTTAGCCGAACACGGGGACTCTGCGCAGGACCACGAGTGCTCACCATCACGTGATACTCTGTGTGGGGCAGCACACAAATTAAGCTCTGAGCCACCCGTGCCGAAATATGGAGCCCAAGTTGCCAAAGGAGATCCCCCAATCCACTTTCTTATCTGTCAGCCGAGATGGATAGGGCAGCAACAGCACAGAAGGACACAGAGCAAAGACACCTGCTGATAGGGGCAGAAGCTGTCGTGTCCAGGGGCACGGATGCTATGAGTCTGTCACCACTGATCCTTACTTTTTCCTGATACGTTGGTGTTCTTTTCAGTATTTTTCTAACAACCTCTGTTTTAAAATTGTTCCTATAGGGTTCCTATATTCAATCATTGCATTTTTGGTTTATTTGAAGTTCGCTTGCTCTGGAGAGACTGACTGTCCAAGATGATGGCCTAAGTGAACAGAGGGCAGGAGGTCTTATATCAAGAGAAAGGGTGACAGTCCCCTCTCCTAGTCTCTGGTGGCCTGTCCTGGGGAGGCCTTTAACCACATGTCTGTTCAGGTTTTATCTTATGTTCTCAGAACTTTTCTTCTATGGGGAGAATCAAAGGAGTTGACATGATCATAAAGGTTAACCTAAAAAACTTTTCTGTTTTCAACCTAGAGCTTGATTACAAGAGGTAACTAGGCAGAGGGCAGGAAGGAAAAACAGGGGAATTGTTGAGTTTCCGCTAGGCCATTTCTCCTGCGATGGGAATTTTTAGCGTGAGCTAGAAGTGAAATCAAAGTGCATCTAGTAGTCCTGAAGTCACATGGAAGTGTTTAAGAGAGATAAGCTGTCATTTGGAACTCATTTTTCAACCATGTTAGTTTACATTTCACATCTTCCAGTTATGAGAAGTGAGTTTTCCATCCATCTACTCGTTCATTCATTCATTCACATGTTTGGGCTTTCTAAACACTCAACAGATAACTATGAAGAAGGAACTCAGGATCTCTGGAGACACAGGGCCAAGTGGTGGTGGTGGTGGTGCCTTGTGACTCCATTGTCTTACTCTGGCTTGTATTATCAGTGAGACAGACAAAGGATTTAGTGTGCACTGTGAGATAAGTGACTGCATAACGTGAAGCTTAATGTCTCTATTTCTTTAAACTTCCCTGCAATCTGGTGTTAGCTTATTTCTTCGTGGCCAGTGTTTGAGTGTAGATAAAGTAAAGAAATACATAAAGTTGCTACTTTACACATATAAAAAATAGAGGCTTTGAGTTGAGGTTTTCCTGTGAACTAAGTTTAGAAAGCAATCACCGTGTTTTACTTAGAGGTGAAGATGGATCAGGAAAATTTGAGAGAAAGATGCTCAAAAGGGAAAGGCCTTAGGAATATCCAGAGTAGATTTCCCCCAGTTGTTTCACGATGCAAAGTGATGTTCAAATAAATTAATAGGATAGCGGCCACTAAGGGTCAGCAAAGCTTTGCTTCAGATACACTTCATTTACCTGCCATGGGTACAAGGAAGAATTAGCTTCCTTCAGGGGATCAAAGAGCATTCCCCATCTTATGGGATCTGTGACTATTATTATTATTATTATTATTATTAATCAGTAGCATAACAACACTATTGTGGTGTAGGCAGGTGGCAGCCAGCCTTCTTCTTTGGGACCTGTAGCTCACAAACCAGGCATCTACCCAAATGTTCTTAGATCTCCATCTAAGGTGAAAACTCAAATCTGTACATGCTTTGGAGTTGGGAAGTAGATAGGAGCTTCAGGTGGGCAATTAGTTTTCCTTTTAAATAACTTCCATATAAAATAAGATCAGAGAGACAGAGGTAAAAGGGAGAAAATGAATGTAAGAGGAACATGAGAATTCTTGACCTCTTTTGGTGGGCAGGAAAAGGGTGCAAAAGGCATGAAGTGGGGAAGAACTTCTCTCTGGGCAAGTAGCATGGACTCTCTGACAGCAGCCTGGGAACCCTGCCACAGCCCCTGAAGTTTATGGCATGGGCTTTTCTTATCCTCCCAAGGACCAAACAGTTGCCCGAACAATGAGAAAAGCTTTCTTTTTTCTTGTCTTTCTTCCTAATGCTTTGCATTGTCTTCCCTGCATAAATTAAACTGTGATGATTTGAAAATAAAAAAAAATAATTACTCAGGTCCACTCAACAGTACATCTGTGAAGAAGAGTGACATGTTATCATTTATGTGCTTCAGACCCCCCCGTCCCAAGGGAACCGGCAAGACCGGCCAGAGAGTACTGCATCCTTCAATCCCTATGAGCCAGACCGAGGACCCTGGCCTGCAGAGAGAGGTGAGAGACACACAGTTATTCCCTGGGCATTCCTGAAGCAGGCAGGGGTCAGGGTCACTGGGAAGTGTGTAGAATTTGTTCAATAACTCTCTTCACTTCCTGAGGTTGCCATGGTCAGCCACAAGCAGTACTGTCATCCAGTGTCACACAGGCGGATGTCAAATGTCTACAAACAGGCAGTTCTGCCGAGTGAAATGTCCTCTACGATAAAAGAACGTGCACATATTGGCAGTGTTAACAGTGCCCATGTTGCTTCTTCAGAATTTTGTATCTCTACAAATAGCACTTCTGTGGAGATTGTGCTTTTGGAAAGCTATTTGTGTCATTCATTATTTTTGACAGAAGGTACAGTAAGGAATGTCGGAGTTACTAGAATTCTAGATGCATTTAGGGACCTATGCTGATTCTGTGAGGCTGTGAGCAACGCGGTTTAGGAAGGTACACCAGGATGACTTGGTCCCACAAATGGGGCTTTGGATGGCTTACTTGGGCTCTATAGGTGTTTCCAAGTTATTTTTAAATTAATGAACTTGGAGTCTGTTTATTGTTACAAAACACACCAAAACAGTGCCCGAAAGAGTGAGAAATGACAATGTCTTAAAACAATGAGAATCAATGATATCTCAGCTAATTAACTCTTATATACTGGGGATTTGGACAAGGCCCAGCTGGGCAGTCCCAGCCTGGAGCCAGTTGTCTTCCGATACTGACAGGGCCAGAAAGGTGGGGTGGGGATGAGGCCAGGGCAGTTGCTCTCTGGCTCATTTAGTAGTCTCAGGACCTCTCTGCCCTCTCAGAGGGCTAGTGTGGACTTTCTCCCAGTATGGTGGTGGTCTCAGGGCACATGAACACCTTCCATGGCACCTTGAGCAAGGTTCCACAAATGAGGCAGCAGTTGTCTGGCCTGTCATAACTTCATCTTGGCAATCACATGCATCATTTCTCATGTGCTCTGTTGGTTGAGCACAATTATAAAAACCAAGAGGGGTGATATAGACTCCATTCTCAATAGGAGGGGCATCAGAATTTCCAGTCCTAGCTTAAAGCCCATTGGAAGGCCCAAATTCAGAGTTGCCTCTGGTGTAGAAGACCCTCTCTCCATGCCTCCTGACTGTGCCTTCAATTCTGAGCTACGTCATAAATGCTCAAGGGGACCAAAAAGGTATTGTGATCGATCACAGGAAGGCAGAGGTAGCAGACAGCTGTCTTGTTAGCAGCCCTCCCAAAGGATGCAACCCAAAGTTCTGTGTTTCCTGAATGCCTTGCAGGCCCTCAGAGAGAAGCTCTGCCCATGGATACAGAGGTGTATGAAAGCCCCTATGCTGACCCTGAGGAAATCAGGCCCAAAGAGGTCTACCTGGACCGAAACCTGCTGACCCTGGAGGACAAAGAACTGGGCTCTGGTAACTTTGGAACCGTGAAAAAGGGCTATTACCAAATGAAAAAGTAAGCAGCACCATGTTACCGTCATAGTCATACAAGCATACACTCTAGAAACTTCCAAGAATATATCAATAATGTTTGTTTAATCTCAAACACAAAATTTAACTTAGTATGGCTAAATCCTTTTTTTATTAGCATAACAATTTTTGTTCATTTCTCGAACACTTACAACAAAAGCATCCATTGTGTATACTAACTATAGCTATAGTAACAAATTAGTTTAGTTTTAGTACATGTTCCTTATAGAAAACAGAAACAAGCAAGACCATAATAAAATAAGAACAACATATTCATACCACCCAAACCCAACTGTTTTTAACTAATCTTAGTGTATATATTTTTGGTCCTTTATATGCACACACACACACACACATATATATGTGCTATTTCATTGAAATGAAAGCGTTTGATGATGACAGAATGGTATTTTATCTGATTTTATAATTGCATCTCGTTTTTCTTACCCAGAAAATTCTTGATTTCAAATACCATTAGGATAATTATTTTTGTGCTTTAGCATATAATTTAAATAACAATATATATTATACAATAGTTAAAATCACTCCATTATTAAAATGTCTTCACATTTCATTTGGTCTTTAGAAGGCATCCCATAAAAACTGTTTGGTAAAAGTACAGGTTTCTAACGTTCTTTAAGATAAAGCCTGTCTTTATTAAGTATGACTCTGTAAGTGTGGATATGATTGAGTTAATTGTTCCTGCTATTTTACAGTTCAGGAATTTTTGTTAAAAAGTGTTTTTCTTGAGTAAGTAATTCACATGATTCAAAGGTCAAAATGATAGACAAGAGCTAGGCTTTAGCTCAGTGGTAGAACACACAGAAAGTCTTGGGATTGACATTGTAGGAAAAGAAAAAATACATACAGACAAAGATATACACAGAAACTCTTGCTTCTAAAACTGCCCGTATCATGTGTGTGTATACACATATATACATATACACATAGACACACATATATACACATGATGTTTTTTAAAAATTATGTAGTATAACATAGTCTTTTAAAAACATACTAATTTTTGTGTATTTAGACCTAAATTTTCCCAATATTTTATAGCTTATCATATTTAAATTCCTTGCTTCAACACTTCAATATGCAAATTAGCATGTATATATATATAAAATTGTGCATACATAATTCCAACTAGAGGGTTTGGGAGAGGAGAGGATATCTAGATCAATTTGGGATAAAATGATGTCTTTATAATCCTGAGTCTTCAAGTCAGTAAGCTTGGCCCACCATCCCTCTGTATTCTTAGACTTTCTTCACTATCTCTCAGCAAACTTGTTTTATTTTCTGCGTAGACTCCTTTAACAACTTCTCTCAGATCCATTCTTAGGGATTTAGTAATTCTGATGTTAATATATATGCTATCATTTTTAAATTTTATTTCTTCAGCCCTGTTTTGCTCACGTATGAATTACAACTGATTTTACTTATGGGCCTGATGACTAACAGTGTTACTAAATTCATTTGTTTTTTCTGGTAGCTTATCTTTGACCCAGAAGTTGATTTATTTATGAATAAGGACAGTTTGGTTTCACTGTGTCCAGTCTTTATACTTTCTGTACTGAGGTTTGAACCCAGGACCTCACACTTGCTAGGTAGGCACACTACCACTTGAGCCACTCCCTCAACTCCATAATATTTGGTGGTTGGCGGGGGATTGTTTTATTTAGTTTTGTTTTGAGACAGGGTCTCATTGTGTAGCCCAGGCTGGCCTCAACCTTGCAATCCTCCTGCCTTAGTCTCCTGAGAACGGGGATTATAGGTGTATGCCTCCATACCTGGCTGGATCTTTATACTTGTGTGCATTCTTCCTAGCTTTGTCATACTAGGAACTGAGGAGCAATGTTTGGTAGCAGTGGCAGTAGTCTCATGCCTGCCTCAGGGGGAGAACTTCCAATATTTCACCATTAGTTATAGGCTTGTGACTGCTCCCTATCAGACTAAAGCAGTGTCCTTTTATTCCTCCATTTCTGAGAGGTTTTTAATCTCTAATGTGTGTGAATTTTATTGAGTGTGATTTCCCCTCCTCTGAGCTCACCATGTGCTTTTTCTCCTTTATTGTGTTTATGTGGTCCATTGCACTGATAGTCTTTCAAATGTTAAACACACCTTGCATCCTCAGGATAAACCCCTTGTCCATCATTCACTCCTTATTTATTTTTTCATAAATCACTGAACTTAATTTACTAATATTTCTCTTAGAATTTATACATCTGTGTTCCTTTAAGGTATACGTCAATTGTTTTTATAGTTTTTCTCTCTGGTTCTAGCATCAGAGTAATGCTAAAAATTTTCTTTCTCTTCTATTTTTCTGAAAGAGATTGTGGGGTGTTATTTAAATATCTGTAAGAATCAAGAGGTTTATAACTTCTTAACTTTGGCCCCTACCTCACACCATACAGCAAATCAGTTTCAAATGGATGGTAGCCCCAAATGTGAAAGGCAAAACAACCAAATGTTTAGAGACAGCAGAAAGGACTGCTCCCATGTTCCCCTGAAGTCCAGGGGAGGCTCCTGGGTGATGACAGTGTTCTGAACCCATTTGTGTAAAAGCCACAGGCTGTGTTCCCTTGATAACATTCACTGAGCTTGTGTGTTCCATTATGTATGTATGTCAGACCTATTCTGATATTCTTTTATTTCACCTATTTTATTGGATAGTTCTGTTTTGATTCTCCACTTTGAGGGTTCAACAAAAGAGGTATACTTCCATGCTTGTGGGAATTGTGCCGTGTGTCAAAGCTTGCATAGTTTAACTCTGTTCTTTTATTTACACCTCACTTTGTCAGAATATTTTCAAGAGTTCAGCATGATCTAGGTGATACTTTTATGATAAAATGAAAAATCTAATTTTTTAAAACTCATTGAAGCTTGCTTAAAATTAACAAAGCTCACTTTGGGGAAAATAGCTTTTTTTAGCTATGAGAGTTAACAATGTAGTCTGTGCCCAGAAATTCATTTTCAATTCACATTAAAGGAATTTTATATTCATATGCACATACATGATCTAGATTATAATCACAAAATGTTACAGGAAACTATGTATGTCATATTGTTTTATATAAAAGTTATTTAACTATTTTCCAGCGTAGGGTTTTTCCTTGGTTTGGCGTACTGTCTGCTACCATTATTTACAAGTAATGGGATGTTACTCGCTGTCTGCAAAATAAAAGAGTACAAAGGAAAGGGTAGCCACTTATAGGACAGATTTACAATACGCATTTCCTGGCAGATGTTACCATAGCACCATTTTTGTGTAGGGATTACGCTTCACAGAACATGTGTTTCTAGATATGAGCCACTTTGGAAAGTTTCTCCCACGTTATGATTTGTTTTGCAGAGTTGTGAAAACGGTGGCTGTGAAAATACTGAAAAACGAGGCCAACGACCCCACTCTGAAAGACGAGCTGCTGGCGGAGGCGAACGTCATGCAGCAGCTGGACAACCCCTACATCGTGCGCATGATTGGGATTTGCGACGCCGAGTCCTGGATGCTGGTGATGGAGATGGCAGAACTCGGTTCTCTCAACAAGTATTTGCAGCAGAACAGGTATCGCGGTGCCCAGGTGTTGGGACAGACAGGGCCCCCCGTGGCCACAGAGCGACCTGACATCTACAGGAGACCTTTTCTTTTCCCCTTTCCTGTCTTCCACCTTATTCCGCCGACGTCGTGAGAAGAGGGATGGGAGATGCTGTCTCTAGATGCAGTTCTTTTCACTCTTACTGCTTAGAGAAAAAGGCTAATCCAACAATTTTATCTTCATTCCCCTCTTGACTCTCTTGCACTGTCCAGCCTCAGAACATCTGGAAAAGAAATCTCTCCTCGGGAGGCAGAACCTTTTTCTGTCTGTTTGGTTGGGTTTTTTATTATCATATTATTGTTGTACTGAAGGTACAATGTGACATTTACAAAAGTTCTTACAATATATCACAGTTAAATTCACCCCTTCCATCATTCTCCTTTATCACCCCTCCCCCCATTCCTGAAATAGTTTCAACAGGTGTTTCCTTATATCATCCCCCTTCCCACTGGTATCAACCACCAGACAGGACCTGTTTTACCTTCCTGTTCTCCATTTTTGGAAAAAGACATTTTAGTTTGTTAAAAATAAATATGCAGGGTGTTTCATTGTGACATTTCCGTCTATATTTGTATTGTGCCCCGAAATGGTTCATCTGCTCTATTTTTTTCCTTTCTACCTCAGTCCTCTTCTTATGGTGATTTCAACAGGCTTAAAATTCTATACTCATTCTTGTGTAGAAAGTGTCAGAACGTTTTAAAGAGGCTTTTAAAACAAACATTTTCTAAGAGATAGCAGCTATGTCTTCTGTTGCCCAGCTGACCTCTGACTTCTGAAGGTATTGGGGCTGTGAACTGACTACATCCATGGGGAGTGATTGTGGTGTGCTTATTTAAAACTGTTGTCAAGACATGGAAACTCCCTTGCAGTAAGACAGAGCACCAGTGGTGATTTGCTAGTCCCATACTCTGCGTTACGTTTTCACTTTACTTAGATTGTCCTCTAGTCTCCATAGAAGGAAGGTGTTGCACTCCTCCTTTAGAGGTAAGAATGGAGACATGGGGTTGGTTTTATTCCGGTCCAATATTGGAGTAAAGTCTGACTGTCTATAAGCCAGAGCTGACCACTCCTTTTTACTGTTTTCTTTAAAAAAATTTTTTTACTAGAATATGCTCACTGTACAGGGGTGTTCATTGTGACAGTTCCAAATAGGCTTATATTGTACATTGGTTAGCTCACCCCCACCGTCTCTCTCCCTCGACCTCCTCCCCACTCCACTTAAAGCAATTGCAAGAGGTTTCTTTGTTTTATTTTGTATAAGAATATGGAGAACATCCACCATTTTCCCTCACCTTAATCTCCTTTGTTCACCCTCCCTCCTTCCACAAGTACCCCCCTCAAACTGTACCTATTTTACAGTCCTGTGTTTCATCACTAATATTTAAGTAGATGTTCAAAGGGGTTCCTCAATGTATCATTGCTGTGAGTATATGCTGCTTTGGTCCATTCAACCCCTTCCATTGCTCTCCCTTACCTATTTACCTCTCCCCCCCCATTTTTCAACAGCTTTCAATACACATCCTTACATCCTCTACCTTCACAGATACTGTGTTTACGATATTGCTGATGCTCTATCACTCTCTTTTCCTTTCCCTCTTTCCCCAAGTTCCACCAGAGCTGTTTTTCATGCAATTCAGAGCAGGCCACAAAAATCACAAGCTACATGGAGCAAAGCAACCTGCCTCCACGCGTGATGCTAGTTGTTTAAGAAGACTAGGGAATGACTGCATTCTTCTTTAGTGTGTCTGAGGAGCATAGTTGTTTGTTCTGAAATGGATGGCAGTCCGTGGTCACTAATGACACCCTTGTGACTTTCAGGCACATCAAGGATAAGAACATCATAGAGCTGGTTCATCAGGTTTCCATGGGAATGAAATACTTGGAGGAGTGCAATTTCGTGCACAGAGATCTGGCTGCAAGAAATGTATTGCTGGTCACTCAGCATTATGCCAAGATCAGTGATTTTGGTCTTTCCAAAGCGCTTCGTGCTGACGAAAACTACTATAAGGTAGGAACGACTCAGCTGTGGTCATGGCAGCAGTCTGTAGCAAACTGGAAAGTAAAAGTGTGTTCTCTGTATTCTACTATGGTAGGACTTTAAGAGAATTTCTCTAGTAAGCAGGCCCCCAAAAAGTGTTCTTATTAAGCTTTGAATCTATTAGTTAAAAAAAAAAAGTGGAAATGCTTGAATTTATCACACACTTTTTGCAGTTTTTTTAAAACTTTTTCTGTTTTTTTTTAAATTATTATGCTGGGGGTACACTGTAGCATTTATTACAATGTAGTAATACATCATAGTTGAATTCACCCCCTCCATCACTCTCCTTTATCCTCCCTCCCCCATTCCCAGAATAGTTTCAACAATCCTCATTTTTCAAGGAAACTCTCTTTTTAGCTATCTTAAACAAACAAATATGGTTTTTTTCCTCTTTTGCAAAATCAGCGAACAGGAGTGTAGAACAGGTCCTGTCTGGGGGTGTTGGTACCTGTGGAAGTGGGGAGAAGGTGGGGAAAGGGTGTAGGAGAGTGAATATGGTATAAATACTATGTATGTAAATATATACACATGTATGTAAATGGAAAAATGAGACTTGATTAATCTAATTTATCATACTATGAGATTTTCCCAGACTAGTATCTTCCAAATTATGTTCCGTGGAACATTAGGGAATCATGGTATTAACTGATGGTTTATTTTGAAAAAAGAAAGCTTTACTAAATTACATTGGAAAATATAATAGGTTGGTTCCTGAAGCATTTCCCTTTTCCTGTGAAAGGACACTGAATCTCAGTAGATGGTGTTTCTCAGCTGCGTTTTTCAAACCTACTTCCTCCTTGGAGTTCTTTCCCCATGGAGTATCTAATAACACCTGTGGGACACTGTTTCACAGTGCCTGCTGTGGGTCACTTTAACATACACATTTCTACACATGTAATGAAGATGCAAATGATCAAAAATAAATTCATCCACACCCAACTACAAATTTAGGTCCCCATGTGTTCTCATTATATGTGTGGAAACTGTTTTACAGGCTTAATTGGCATCCTGGGGAATTGAAGTGTAATAGTAGTAATAATAATAATAAAATTCTGAAAAGCAAAAATCAAAGTAGTTATGTGAGTGAGGCTACAAAAGAAAGATGCCCCTTAGTCTTTTAAGGGAGAAAGTATACAGAATTAAGAATGGACTCCCAGTAAAAGTGATAACCAGGCCTGGACAAATGTTTGGATGCTCTAAAACATAATTTCACAATAACTAGTTCCATGTACTGAGTTGGCTTTGCTCCTCTCTGCTACCCCTCTCCAAACAATTAAAAGAAGGGGAAAGCAGTAAGAAAGCCCCAGCTTCATGGGAACAAAGCCATGGTCCCTACATAGGGTTCATGTTGACCAAAAGGAAATGTAATGGGATTGTGCCCAGTTAGAAGGGCCATGGGAAGATGTACAATGCTGCATCTCTCCAGGAATATTCAGTTCTCAGTTAGAGACTGGCAGGCACGAAGGGGTAGGCATGGCTGTGGCATGAGGAGGCTGTGGGTTTATCCCTGAATTTTACAGCCTGCTGTGGCTACAGAAGTTCCCCTAAGTTGCAGTGCCCACCACCCACTCTTTCTCTGACAGGCAGCCCATGGATACAGCAGGTGACTGAGGAAGGAGGGGTGTCAGTTATCTGAGAGGTGACATGAGGGCTGAGCTCCCACACTAGCAGGCAGACTCATGCTCACTGGCCTAAAGACCCCAGAAAGAGCAGCACAGGCACAGGCAGTCCAACATCCCGCTCCCTCCACAGCCTCCCCAACCCCATTCCTCCTAAAGCAGGGTTGCCCTCTGGAATGGGGGTCTTGAGACACACAACAGCATGAAGAAGCACAACACAGAAAATCACAGCCTACATGAAAAAGCACAAGCTCTCTGGAGAATTAAGTGTTGCACAGCGAGAGATGTATTGGAACTTGCATGTCACTGGAGTCAAGACAGAAGAAAGGACAGCCCATGTGGAGCAAGCACTCACAGAGGACACGGAGAAGTTGGAATAGGCACATGGTTCCCATGATCTATTGCCAAGTAACAGGCAGCTGCACACCCAGGGCCCTGGAACACCAGCACTTCAGTGCACTTCAAGCAGCAATGGGGCAGGGCTCGGTGAGGACAGACGTCTCTGTGACTCAGAGGCAATCAGCTTGATTTTGTTCATCCATACTGCTAGTGACTAGTTAGACCTGACCCATGTGCTGCTGGCCAGCACGCCTCTGCACAGTCTGTCCTGTAGCCCTGGCTTCCACCCAGCATGGTGGCTGGAGGAGGCAGAAGTGGAGGTGCCAGCCTCAGAAGGCCTGGGCTCAGAAACTGTGTCAGGTTACTTCCACCTGGTTTGTTGGTCGGAGCAGTCACAGCCCACCTAGATTTAAGGGACAGGGGGAGGACAGACGCTTATCTTGGAGAAACACAGTGGACAGCACTTGGGTTTTGCTTTCCCTATACAGTCTGTTTCTTGTGCAATTCTGTCTTTCTTGTTTAAATTTCTTCTCTTTAAATCTTTGAGGCTCTCTGCAAAGATCTGGCGATCTGCTTGTGTTTGGATAGGCCCCTGGAGAAGAGGAGTGTCAAAGAACTTGGGGGCCAGCTGGGTTCAGTGACCTATAATCCTAGCTACTCAGGGGGCAGAGACTGGAAGGATCACAGTTTGAGGCCAGCCCCTGCAAAAAGTTTGCAAGACTCCACCTCAAGCAATAAGCTGGATATGGTGTCATGTGCTTGTCTTCCCAGCCACATGGGAAGGGTACAATAGGAGCACTAATCTAGACCACCTTGGGCGTAAATGTGAGACCCTTCTTAAGAAATATTTACAGTGAGAAGGGCGGGTTATAAGGCTCAAATGGTAGCACACCTGCCTGGCAAGTTCAATCACCACTACCAAAAAAAAAGACTACCCAAGAGCCTTTTCTAGGAGTCTGGCTACCTCAGTCATGGCAGAGTCACATCAACTGCACAGTGCAGTTCTTTCCAAAGGGACTTTATTTGCATGTGCTGACGCAGAGCCAGGCACGACACAATGGTCAGGTAGGAAAATGTAAAAAGTCACATGCAAAAAGCACATGCCCTTGTTTTATTGAAAAAAGGAGCATAGTGCCTGTTTATTCTTGTATGTAGATTGTTCTGGAAGAAAACAAGAAAAACTGTTGAAGGTGTTTGTCTCTGTAGAGATGGAGTTGGAGTCAATAATGGTGACTAACTTTTTAGCATATTGAGGATGTGATAAACATTTACTTCGTTATCAGTTCAAAACTCAAACTTGCTAGGTGCCAGTGGCTCACACCTATAATCCTAGCTACTCAGGAGGCAGAGATCAAGAGTACTGATGTTCAAAACCAGCCCAGGCAAATAGTTCATGAGATGCTATCTTGAAAATACCCAACACAAAAAAAGGGATGGTTGAGTGGCTCAAGTGGTAGAGTGCCTGCCTAGCAAGCAGAAGGCCCTGAGTTCAAACCCCAGTACCAATAAATAAATAAAACCTCAAATTTGAATCAACATATGACTGTATTGTTCTCAACTTTTGAGATCAAAATGTCAAGATAATATGTCATGTGACTGAGACAGAAGTACTCAGTTGTGTCATTTTGAGTGTTAGTGCACCCTAGTGTCTGCAGTCTGACATCCCCAGATCCTACTCCTGGCCTGCCTCAGTGAAAAGAAATCAGCAATTTCCCCTGAAATCTCATTCGTCTGTGTACACTGGGGAGACTGCCTCCAGGTTAAAGGGCACAGTGAGGGGTAACAAGACTCAATAGAACACCACGTGGAATTTCAAACCTGGAAGGAAAGGGTTTTACTACACCGTTTGATCTTTTTCTTACCATTGGATTTTTTAAACTGAGAAATTAGGAACTTTAAAGAATTTAATATTGGTTTTTGGAGTAATACAAGAAATAATCTGTGCTAAAATGATTTAGCATTGTCTCAAAACTATAAACAAACACAGCAGTAGTGAAATATGCTTGTGACGAGCCCAGTATTTTTTAGACTGTTACCATGACTCTGTGTTGCCCCTTGTGTGCTCCATGAAACTGTACATATCCATAGTATAAAAGGGAGAGGGAAAAACTAAAAAATGCAAGCAGCTCAACCGGAATCTTTAAAATGTGTGTTTAAGTCTTAAAACACTTAAAAAGTGTTCAAGGTTTTGCAATTGAATAGTATTTTTTAAATTCATTCCAAACACACCATGCTGTTAAGTCATGAACTTATCCTATTTTAAATTGTGGCATAAGAATGCAAGACAAAATTTCATCACCTTCATTGTTTCTAGGCACACAGTTTCATGGTGTCAGGTACTCATGCTGTTGTACACCTTGTCTTCAGAACTCTTTAGTTCTTTCAAGACTGAAACTGTGCATCCATTAAACAGTCATTCCATCCTCCTCTCCCCCCAGCCCCTGGCCACCCTCATTCCAAGTGAAACCACACGGTCTTTGTCTCTTGGTGACTGGCTTATGTCATTTAACATAATGACTACAAGTTTCTTCCACGTTGCAGTCTGCACCAGAATGCCTTCCTTTCATAGATGGATACCACTCCAAGGTCTCTGTCCACTTGTGGTGGTCACTTGGGTTGCATCCACACCTCAGCTATCAGATTAGAGCTGTGATGACACCAGGTGTGTGCCATTTTGCTCTTCCTGGAGCCTCATCGTCTGTTCTGCTTTCAGGCGCAGACCCACGGGAAGTGGCCGGTGAAGTGGTATGCCCCCGAATGCATCAACTACTACAAATTCTCCAGCAAGAGTGATGTCTGGAGCTTCGGAGTGCTCATGTGGGAAGCATTTTCCTATGGGCAGAAGCCGTATCGAGTGAGCCAGTCTTCACTGCATACTTCCCTAACAGTGGTCTTTACAATAGACAAGCGCCAGACTGTCTTCATGGGAGCATGAAAGCAATGAAAGAGGGAAACCCGCTATGAGTCTTTCATTGTCTTTTGACAGTGGGCAATTAATAGGACCTCAGCTTACACAAACCTGGAAAATCATATTTGATGCTAACTGAACAGTGTCTTTCCTTCATTGTGTGTTACACATACAGATATGCATAGACTGGGTAGCCTTCGTCAGAGTTAAAGTACAAATGGTGTGATGCTGTTGACAGTATCAAATTTGTAGCTCAGTTACATTTTCTACAGTTTTTTAAAATCAAAATATACATATATACCAAAAAGTCCATGGAGCCTAGGATACAGCTCGGGGAGTTTTCACTAATGAAATCTACCATGAAACCAGCCCCCAGATAAGGAAACAGGGCAGAACCCCCAAAGCGCCGACTTCCTGAGCACATACAGCCCTTCCTGCCGGGCAGCCCCGCCTGACCTCCAGCATCACACGGTGTGCTCCTGGCCGTGTGACTTACAGAATTGAAATTGTGCCGCACAGAATTGAAATTGTGCCGCGTACACCCCTTTGTTCTTGGGCAGTGGGCTATGGTTTTGCCGTGTTCGCTAGACCGTTTTCAAAGCTCATGCGAGTTTTTCTTTGTCTCAGGGGATGAAAGGAAGTGAGGTTACTGCCATGCTGGAGAAGGGAGAGCGGATGGGGTGTCCACCAGGGTGCCCAAGAGAAATGTATGAGCTGATGAACCTGTGCTGGACCTATGAGTGAGTACCTGACACTTCTGTCACTCATCTCAGGCTCTGGAAGCAAATGGCTTTCAAAAGCAGCGCAAATTAGCTTTTCATACGTCAAGAATGAGCTGCCTTCTAAATCAATCAGGGAGGGGGACAGGATGGCTGCTTTGAGATCCAGTCGTGTCGCATAAAGACAAGGACACACTCTGAGATGTGCATCCTTAGGTGGTTTTGTCATTTTGTGAGCATCATAGAGTGTTCTTACACAACCAGGGCAGCTACAAAAGTCACCAGGTAATGTGATCTTATGGGACCACTATGGGGTCAGAGTGGTGGTTCAGAGTCCCTGGAGGCATCTCAAGCATTTGGAACATTCTGCAGCCCTTGACATGCCCGGGTAAGTCGACTGCCCTGTCTGAAGGCAGCCCCCATTGCAAAGAGCATTAAATCTATGTTCGGAAGTTCCTCCAGATCACAGGTTAGATGTCAGATGTCCAGAAACAACAGGTCAGGGTTACCACGTGATGTACTTTGGTCCCAGCATGGCAGGGTCACAAGCCCCACCCCGATCCTAAGGTGCAATGTGGTTTCCTTCCCTGCTGAGCTGCCCTAAACACCTCCGGAGTGGAGTGTCACGTGCTCTCTCAAGTGTGGTCAACACCCAGAGCCACTAGGCGCTGGTGGCAGAGGGTAGCCCTGCGCCACTGCCTCAGTTGCTGTAGTTGCAGATGAAGGGTTGGCAGTTAGAAGGCTGCAGGTGAGCCATTGCGCTGTGACATCACTCGCCATAGTGCCCGGTTTAGGCTACAGAAGCCAGTGTGCTGTCATAACACCGAGTGGGTCTTGGTGTTGGGAACGTTCTGTGTCTGTTCTCAAGTGTCTAGACTGCAGAGCGAACTGCAGGACAAAATGACGGCATGTGGACCCCTGCAGTTTTACCTCAAGCTCTGCTTCACTTACTATCAACTGTATCCATTTGCTTTACAGCCAAGAATCTTGAAAAGTAAGTTTGAAGAAAGGTCGATCCTTAAGGGATACGGCTCGCTCTTGATATCCCACGGGGTAAAAATCAGCAGAGTTAACAACAGAAGACTGAAAATGTTTTTTAAGAAATCGCATCTGTGTAGACTTTTTTCTTGTTATAACTTCCTATTTCTGTAGCATTTACCTTAAATCTAGAGGAGATTTAAAGCATGCAAGAGGATTATGTAGGTTACCTGCAAATGCTACACTATTTTATACAAGGGACTTGAGCATCCAAAGGATTTTAGAATCCTTGGGGACTCAGGAACTGATCCTCCATGGATATGGAAAGGTAACTACACTCCTTTCTAACTGACTGATCAAATTTTCTCATGTTAGAGAAACATGTACATATTTGTTTAGAGATCACAGATTGTTAAAGGCTTTATCTGTAGCTTACTTACACCAGCATCTCACTTACTAACAGTACAGTCTTGTTAAGGTTTATGATAGAAGCCAGGCATGCAGGTACATGCCTGTAATCCCAGATACTTGGGAGATGGAGGCAGGAGGATCACAGTTTGAGACTAACCTGAGCAAAGTTAGCGAAACCCTGTGTCAAAAGCTAAAAGTAAAACTAAAGGGCTGGGGGCATGGCTCAAATGGTGGAGCGCTCACAAAGCATGCACAAGGTCCTGGGTTCAATTCCAAGTACAGTAAAAAGGATTTATATTAGACAAGGTCTATTGCCTCAACCACGGCAGGTTATGAGTTCTAAGAAGTGCCCACATCAACAGTCTTCTTTCAGAAAGTCCAGAGCCATCCGGTGGCACTGGGGGAAGGAATGTCACAGTTACGTCCATACTTTCTTTTTTTTAGATTATGAGTCAAATATGGTGTATGTCTGTAGACGTTGACCAATGTGTCACCTTGGTTTTGTTTTGGGAGATTTTTTTTTTTTGATGGTACTGGGGTTTGAACTCAGGGCTTCACCCTTGCTAGGCAGGCGCTCTACCACTTGAGTCACATCCCTGTCCCAACCAACCAATGTGACACATTTAAACAACATGTGTTTAAACATGTCGCTGGTGTCACAAGGGGATGTAAAAGATCCTGAGCTCTAGTGGAAAACTCCTCCCGTACACGAATCCCCTGGGGACCCTGTGAAAAAAAAACAAAAACCTCAGGTTTGGGTTCTGTAGGTCTAGGATGGGGTGAGACCATTTCTGCTTCTGGCCACCAGCTGCTGGGGTAGGCAATCCTAGATTTCTCCATCAGGGGACGAAGTTGCTCTGTGTGGCAGAGGCCCCAACTGGACCTCCCTTTTTCAAGAGCGCCTTGAGAGACCCTAACTCCTCTCTTCTTCTTTCAGGGTGGAGAACAGGCCTGGATTTGTAGCGGTGGAGCTGCGGCTGCGCAATTATTACTACGACGTGGTGAACTAGCAGCTCTAGTGCATGGCTCTGGCTACGTTGGGTCAGACAAGCAATAAGAGGAAATGTATTTAGATGAACTGGTTTTCAGTGTTTCCGTCTCCTCTGCCAGTAGAGAGAGCCAGCCTCCTGTGGAACATGTTGGGGGGACTTGTTAAGCAAAGCTTGTCCTTGGATTCAACCTCCACAAAAACAAGCCCAGTCCCAGGGGAAGATGGACATGTGGATTAAGGGGCCCACTGGATCTGTTTATTTGTGTGGTTTTCATGACAGATCACTTTAAGATCGCTTCCCAACTTCTTTTTATGTTGTTCCAGTTCTCTGGGTCCTGGACTATCCCTGCAGGCCTGGAGGCAGGAACGAGGGGTATAGAGCAAGCATTTGCAACACATCCAAGGTGCAGTGAGCAGCCGACTCTTGACATGGAGAAAGAAAAAGAGGAGGCTGTACCTAGAGCATCCTCTGGCAGCCCAAAAACAGTGTCTAGATGAGAAAAGTGCCATGGGGCTTTTAAAAAAGACCAAAAAAAAAAAAAAAAAGGAAGCTGGACCAGTGCAGTTTCTAAACAGGTTAATGAAAACACACCAATAACAGCACTAAGTCTTGGGTGTTGCCTTTGCTGTCTGTGTTGTGGGACAGAAGAAACATCAAGATGAGAAATGAGGTACGGTGGGATGCACCAGCTTGGCTAACACCCCCTGGGAATCCTCTCTCCTGCAGACTCTTGGACACTGTCCTGTGTGCTTGCACGGGGACACGTGTGTGGAAGCTGTGTAGGGGAGGCAGGCTCCAGTCATCCAGTGTGACTGAAGACAGCAGAGTGCATCAGACTGCCACCTACTGACTGTTGGTGGGTGTCTTCCTCTCCTGGAAGAGAGGGTGCCTCCAGAATTCTGTCTTCTTCTCAATCTGTAATGAAGAGCATGTTAGTCCATTTTTTGTTGCTGTAACTGAACACCTAGCCTGGGTAATTTAAAAAGAAATTTAGCTGAGCACCCATGCTCCTGCCTGTAATCCTGATTACTTGGGAGGCTGAGATTGGGAGGATCATAATTCCAATGGCAGCCCAGGCAAAAAAAAGTTTGTGAGACCCATCTCAATGGAAAAAAAGCTGAGTGTGGTGGTGCACGCCTGTCGTCTCAGCGATGGTGGAGAGTGTAAAATAGAAGAATCAAGGTCCACGTCAACCTGGGCTAAAAGCAAGACCCTACCTCCAAAATAAGGGCTGGAGGCGTGCCTCAAGCAGTAAAGCAGGAGCACCTGCCTAGCAAGTGTGAAGCCCTGAGTTCAAATCCAAAAACCGCCAAAAAAAAAACAAAGAAATTTGTCTCTCACAGTTGGACTATTGGGAAATCCAGTATCAAGGCGCTGGCATCTGAATCTGATGAGGTCCTACTTGCTGCCATAACAGAGGGTCCCACCCCCATAACCTCATCTACTCTTAATTACCTCCCAAAGCCCACACACCCACAACATCTGATTTTATGGATTAAGTCTCCAACACAAGAATCTAGGGGACACAATCACACCATAATAGAGGGCAACATGGTGGCCAAAGCCAACTAAACAGGAGTTTCTGAAGAGAATATCAATTCATAGTAAAATCAGACTCTGACCCTCACCACAAATAGGCCTTATGACAGTGACATTGGGTTGAACATACAAGACCTGATAATTCTCTTCTAGTTCTCTACAGTTAGCTACTCCTTGCTTAATAAGTTTGACTTTATGCAAATCATCACCCATTGGTAGCAGATTTGCTGAGGCCCTTGAAAGTTAAAAGGATGTGTAGCCATTATTCTTCTGTCAGTACGTACATGTAAAGTAGGATCCACTCATCTTCACACCTAAGCATGTAAACCACACACAGCTGTGGATAATAGAGAGGGCCTGAGTAACAGAAGGGGAAAGACTTGGAGACCAGGGGAAATCAGTGCCTTTTCTTAGCTGAAAGAAGCCATGAGTCCCTAGTAGACCTTGTGTTAAGAACTGTTTAAAAACCATTCACACTTTTTGGAATTGTGCTGTCTGTTTCATCATTTTGTTAAAGAAAGGATCCCTGACTGCTGAACTCACTGAGCAGGTCCTCAGAACACATTCAGAGTCCTGAAATTGTGAAGATGAATGACAAAATCTCCATTGGTCAGGTCACCAGTAGATATGGAGTCATGAAAGGAAAGGTTGGGTGTGTTGCGGTTTGGTAAAGAGGTCACAGTCACATCTGAGTCGGGGGGGGGCCTCTGATGCTGAGCTCAGAGTTTGCCTTCCTCCATCCCCAGAGTGGGTCCTTAATGAGACTATCTGCTCTTAGGGTAGGGAAGCATGTGTGTAGTAAATGTGTGGGACTTTTTGTGTCTTCTTTCTCATGTGATTTTCTGGCCTCTCTAGCAGCATCCCTCCCTCTTAGGAGTCTGGGGCTGACCAACACCTAAAATGTGACTGGGCAGGAGAGAGGCAGGGACTTCACTTCCCTTCAGAAGGCTGCCCATCCAGGCCCCGGGTCCCTCTGTCCTGGGACAATCTCCAGTGCCTCTTGCTTTGGAGAGCAGGTTCCTGTGTGCAGAATCCCACTGTGGTCAGCGTGAGGTGACCTCAACTAGGGAAAACCACGCTCTTCCATCAGGAATAAGTCTCCTTTCCCCTGGGGCCACAGAAGAGGGTAAAGGGAAAGGCACCTCATTGAAGGAGGACTGGAGCAGTAAATGGGCTAAATTCTAAGATACTTTGTGAGCATCTGAACTGTCCTAACCGTCTCTTACCTGGAGCCGGGCTTGCTCCATCTGGTCCTTCAGCAGGGAACAAAGGAGCATCCTAAGCTGCCCAGGTTTGAATGCCACAAGTACCTCTTCCCCCACTGCAGGACCAAATGTCTCTACCACAAAAGGCTTGTCCAGTGTCGGAGTGTGGCTCAACTGAGCACCTGCTTAGCAAGCATGAGGCCATGAGGTCAAACCCCAGTACCTACCCCCTGCCCAGAAAGGCCAGTCAGTCGTTAAGATCAGTGTGTGTGTGTGTGTGTGTGTGGTTTCCTTTGACCATGCCCTGACCCCCATCACCCAGCCCTGCTTTATGTCCTGGACCGTGACCTTGCATGGAGCTCAGCTCCATGACTGCAAATCCACCTGGATGTCCAACTGCAGAGGTGACTGCTGGGTTGTCAGTCACCCCAGCCTCCCAAAGAGAGCACTCCACTGCAGCATACAGCGTGATTCTTGTTTATTTCAGAAGAGCTACATTTTTCACTGGCTGTGTTGTTAAACTGTGAGTTTTAATAAAAGGTTAAGATTAGCTTGGTCATGATGTCTGTGGAGGTTATTGGGCTATGATGGGTCACGCTGTGAAAGTGTTAAGCAGCATTGCCACACGTGCAGTCAGTTTTGTAAAATGTTGAGACTCCTGCGTGTTGGACAAAGCAATGCAAGCAGGATCCTCAGAGCTGGCTGTCAGCTGCTGCCACACAGGATGAAGCCCTCAAACAGGACCCTATCCTGTGAGGAACGTGTGTCCTCTGCCCACTGAGGCCCTGATGGCCAGCCCATTCCCCATAGAAAGTGGGCCAAAGACACCCAGAAATCCCTGCGGTGTGTTATATGTGTGATATACGGTAGGTATATGGCGTATGGTTCTATGGTGAGTATATATGTGGAGTGTACAAAGTGTGTGTGAAGTGTGTGGTGTGTTTGGTGTGTGTGTAGTGTGTTTGGTATGCTGTATATTGTGTGTTTAGTGTGGTGTATGTGTGGCACGTTTGGTGTGGTATATGACGTGTGTGTGGTGTCTGTGATGTGTGTATGTGTGATATGTGTGATGTGTGTGGTATGTTTAGCATGGTGTGTGTGTGTGGTGTGTGTGGTGTGTATGTGTTTGCTATGTGTGTGGTGTGTGTGTGGTGTGTGTTCTGTGTATGATGTGTAGTATGTATGTGTTATGGTGTGGTATGTGTAGTGTGGGTAGTGAGTTGTGTGTGTGCTTTGCATGATGTGTTTGTGTGGTGTGGCATGTGTGTCCCCATGTGTGATGCTGTGACTATTGCATTTCTCAGCCATCTTCTACTCCTGATACTTCTCTGCACGTGAGAGCACCTCTCACTGTTGATCCCTTGGCCCCTGCTCCCAATGCACTTGCAGCAGTTAACACTTCCACGGTGGATCTGGGGTGCCACTGCAGCACCCCGGCTTAGACCCCGCCTACTGGCTCTATTGCAGACACCGGGACTGCCACCAAAAGCATAAAGCTGGGGAGAGGCCATGACACAGGCCCTGAAGCCCCCAGGACACTTTTGCTTAAGTCTTCACAAGAGCCATTTGCTCCCTTCACAATGACAGTTCTGCTCTTCCCACGCTGCTCACATCGCCCTGTGCCCGCCCTGGCCCACCCTCCCATGGGTGGGGAAGGTGGGTGAGAGCTGGGGTGCAGCCCCCTCAGACCTGGAAGTATGTGCTCGGTGGACCCTGGACTTGCCCTGTGATGATATATCTACATATAGCGTCTGTGCAGGCCTCTGGACTGGAATGAGAAGCCGGGGCTCCAGGCAGCAGACTTTGGGCCCTGCAGCTGAGCAGCAGCTGGGGTGAGTGGCCTGATGGAGGAGTGCTGGCCTCTGTTGGCAGCTCTCAGCATCCTCAGCAGCTGCCAGGCCCAGGAGGCCCAAATCTGTGCAGTGCTGACCCTACCAACGTGACTGATGAGGTAGGGACTCTTCCCAGGTCCAGGCCCCTAATGAGTCTTTGAAATGCTGTCTTGAAGTCAGAGCAGCTTCAGCAGGAAAGAAGACAGGCTATTCCTCCAGGTCACTGGAGACTGCCAGTAGAATCTTCCTCCCTCCCTATTCTCAGCCTCTGGAAAGTTCCCAGTTGAGAACCAATGGTACAGGATACTCAAGTGATCCCTCCAGCAACCCACTGCCCACTCCTCCCACTGCTGGGCAGACCAGAGTGCAGAGGACATTCCAGCAGAAAACAGCAAAGCAGGTGACTGCCTGGAGCTCAGCTTAGCTGGCCGTGACCAGCGAGATGTACACTATGCTGTTCTTGAGTGTGCTGTAATAGAACTTTCATTTGCATAACATTTTACAGCTCACAAAGCCTATTTGGGTGTATTTTCTATTTTAGGCTGAAAACAACATCCTTTGGGATAGCTGTTATTAACTCTTTGTTTTACAAATAAAAAGGACATGATTCAGAAGATAGCGCACACACACACACACACATACATACACGTCCACCCAGATTGCTTTCTAAAACACCATTGGTTGGTTCTCAAACCCGATTGACCTTCAGAATTAAACCAAAGCCTTAAAATGCTGATGCTCAGACTTTGTTCCCCCAAGATCTAGTATAATTGGCTTGGAGTGGGGTCCAGGTACCCACTGCTGATAATCTAAAAATTCACCAAGGGCCAGGTACAGTGGCTTATGCCTGTAATCCCAGTCACATTGGAGGCAGAGATAGAAGGATTGTACTCCAAGGCTGGCCCTGGCCAAAGCGTAAGATCCTATCTGAAAATTCGAAAAGCAAAGAGGGCTGGGGGCTTGACTCAAGTGG